TTAAAAATATCATAAAATGACCATTTTAGACAGGGAAAATGATGATGAACCAAGACTGATGAATCGGGGTTTTCCCGGTTTTCCTCGAACAAAAATCAGGCAACGCCTGACATTCCTCCATGATCATCATGATCATGATATATTTAGATGATGTGTTCCCCATATTTTCCAGCTTCCCAAGGTATTTTCTGACTCTGGGCTACCCAGGCAGTGATTCCAGCTTAAAGGAGCTGAAGCAATGGGCAGAAGAGAACCGAGAATGGTCAGAGTCCGGATTCCTGGTTTACTCATGCGATTCCTGGTGAGGAACTGGCTTTTTAACCACCTAAAAATAGTGATTCAATGGAATTCCAGGGTGATTTCAATGGAATTCCAGGGTGATTTCAGTGGAATTCCAGGGTGATTTCATGGAATTTCATGGTTAGAAGGGTGATAAAGCACCATCTAAGTAGCTTGAGGCACCCTGGTTGGATAGCGCTTTGTTGGTGAAGACTTCACAAAAAAAGGACTGTTGGATTGATGAATAGGACATGTATTGAACTAGTTTGATGGGGTTATAAATCAACTTATATAAATATATAGATATATATTGATTATATATATAAAGTATATATGATATTGTATATATACATCTATACTGTATATAATGTTTATAATATATATATATATTGTATATTATATTTATATAATAAATATATATATATATATATATTTATATATTGTATATAATATTTATAATATATATATATATGCAACGTTTGGGGGTACCACTATGTATGAGCAGTGTTCAAAACATGTGTTGATGGATGATTATGGGGGGATATATACTACCTATAGTTATATCGGGCATTACCACAATCCATTGTGGGAATCCTATGAAGCAACCAGTAGAAAAGAACGTCACAGGGTTCTGAACTCTGCCGATATAGGTTTGTCACGATGATGCAGCTGGAAGTCGAAACAGGAGGAACGATGGTAAATTAGCAGCAAAACAAGAGTTTTTTAAACCAACAATTAACCAACTAACTATAATTTTTCGCAAAGAGACAACAAACTTATGACGGGAATGGATGAGACACAAACACATCGGTGTGGTTTCCAAAGTCATGGGGCTACCCCCGGTTCAAATTTCTGAAATTTGGGATTTTTTACCATCCAGCTATTGGAGTACCCCATGGAAATCTCCATAGAACAATAACATGTACAATTTTATGGATACACAATTATTTTACAGATGTAATGGACATTTATGTATTAATTTACGGATATACTCCAACTATTTATGGATATACTCCAACTATTTATGGACTTACAATAGTATGTACAATTTATTTGGCAAACCAAATGTTGGAGTACCGAAGGTGAGATATTGAACTCCCCATGTTCGTCAGCTAAGCAATTCGTTTATTTGGTTGATACAAAAACACTCCCTAATATCCTATATGTTTCCATATTGAATAGCCAAACATAAAACTGTGAGTCTGGGTTTCATCCCCATTTTTCATGGGATCTTCTAACAAATCGCTTGCATAGCCACTGACCAAATGTCGCAGAACCATTTGTTTTTTTTTGGATGTCCACATTTTATCCCCACGATGGTTGGTTTCCCCATCACGATGGTTGATCTCCCCATTTCGAGCAGCATTGTCCGCATTTATCCCGGAGTATCCCAAGTATGTCTCCACGTATTTCTCCACCTAAAGACATTGTCAAACAAACCAGTTGGTTAGTCAAAAACCCTATTATATTCCCGTTATATCCACATTTCTGCATGATTAAAAATGTTTGTTACACTATTTAGATGCTCTTCCCATTGTAAGAACATTGATCTCTGATTTTACAATTAAAAGCTACATTTATAACTACATGTATATATACAGTAGATTACCCAGATGCTCCATGGTGCTGGAATATTTACCTACATTTACCTCCAAACATGGCCCAGTTTAGGTCAATATTCCAGCACCATGGTTCGCATCTGGGTGATGAATTTCCCCTATGTAGATGGTGACATTTTCCCCGACCCACCTCCCAGGTCCGCCCGCGAATTTCTGGGTGAAGAGGAGGACTTACCTCCCCCAGAGGTGCCACCCGCGCTCTACGTCACTCGGGTTGCGAGCGACGACTGGTTGTAGCCATGCTTGGAAAATCCCAAGGGAAATGGAGGATTTTTGGGAGCTCCATGACACAACGGAAACCTCCATATCCTGAAATGTATGATAGTTATGTAGGTACATGTAGACATATAGGAACTAGGTGGGGATTCTCCACCAACAAATGGGGAGTTTGATGGATCTTCTTTGGCAATAGTTCATATCTGGTTGGTGGTTTGGAACATGACTTTTATTTTTCCATAGATTGGGAATCATCAGCCCAACTGACGAACTCATATTTTTCAGAGGGGTTGAAACCACCAACCAGTTATGTATAGGTAAATGTAGACATATAGGAACTAGGTGTAACTAGTTTGATATGACTGTGATTCATAACCTTCATAAAGCCTAGATATTGTGCAGTTGGAGAGCAAAGTTGACGCACATCACTTCGCTATGGGTTTATTGGGGGTTTGACTAGAGTTTTCATGGGGATTTTAAACCTTAAGTTTGAACCTGGGGGGTCCCATCTTGTATTATTGTATGATATAGTAGGTAAATGTATGATTACAGTGTATAGACAATATCTATCACATCTGCTATATATGCTATAACAATGTTACATCATATCTACGCAACATCTATAAGTATATATAATACAGCATATTAGTATGTATTATGTAATGGAAACTAGATATCATGTTTGTGTGCAGATACAGAATAGCAATACTGCAATACAGATGCATTAGTTTAGCTTCAGAATGCGATGTATACACCCTCATGCTATCGGTCCTTATTGGCTAAGGCGGGCCTGGCCATTCTGTTGGTCGTTTTGGCCTATGGCACTTACTGGGCCTTGCACAAGTGAACGCGGTGAACGCGGTCTATGCCATGGCAGGGAAAAGACGAAAAGATCTGGTCACGGTAGCTGGTCAAAAATGCAGGGTGAATGCCATGTTCGGTGTTTTTCATGGGTCATTCTCTAGGGTATCAACAATCAAAATTTGAAATCTATCCCTCGGAAAAGCTGGGTAAACGCAGTAATTGCTGGGTCTTTATGGATTATACAGTAAATGTGGTATCAATCATCAACAATCGAATATGAATCAGGACCAGAAGGATAGTTTCTGGGGTTTAAAAATGAAATGGAGGTTTTCTAAGAGATGTTTTCTGATATTTTCGAGATGCGAGCTCAACTCATTAGATGCGTGTTTTTTTTTGGATATGGGCTATCTAAGGTGTCACCAGGGTAATACCATATCAGGTGCGGGGAGGAAGAGTATCCCTTAGAAATTCTGGTTGGATGCGGGGCATTTCGGGGTGTCATACCCTGCTGGAAGAACGCGTAAGGAACCGGTTTTTGTTTCTTGGTTCATCCTGGGGATTCTCCACCAAATGGGGAGTTTGATGGATCTTCTTTGGCAATAGTTCATAGGTTGGTGGTTTGGAACATGTTTTATTTTTCTATATATATACATATATTGGGAATGTCATCATCCCAACTGACGAACTCACTCCATCATTTTTCAGAGGGGTAGGGCGAAAAACCACCAACCAGATATTTTTTCGCTGTTGATATCTGTGCATTGGGTAACTCCGAGTTTCACTCGGGTTCCCATATGTTCCCATGGTTCGCGCAAGGGCAACGGCCAGATGATTGCCGTTCAAGATCACTGCCATGGTAGATCCGTTTCACCTGAAAACTCGGCAACGCGGCTGCGTTGCCAGGCCAAGTTCTGCTTGATGTAAACTGGTTGCTGTGAGAGGTTTATGTTTACTGATGTTTAATGAGAAAATTCGAAAATAGAATCTTCGGTGATAGACCTTCTTGAAGTGTACCCAACGGCCCTACTTGTATTTTGGGGTCCGTGCAACTGTTAAAAGCTACTGACTGCAAGAACCAACGTCCACAGAAACACAGGCAACGCTTGCCAAAGGCTCAACGAGCCTTGTGAAAAATTAGAGTTCAAATGCTGCAGCTGGTTTACCCTCAGGCACAGAATGTTGCAACCAGTGAAGACAACCTTGCCAAAAACCTGGTGAATTTCAAAATGTAAAGAAGTCCAGTTTTGTCGGCCTCAAATGTGATACAGTTGTTATCCAAATTTGCGCCTGTCAAGCCATCACCAACTGCATGCAGTTTCCACAATTTTCTGCGCCTGGAGACACTCTGAAAGGGCTGCTCACGATAACGAGACTCGCTGGACAACCAGAAAACACGCGAGAGATCGCAAGGGTCCGCAATGCGTTAAGATGTCAGCTTCTTGCCACAGGGATTTATGACATGTTGACATGTTTTAGGTATTTTTGATGAACTGCTTTGACTTAGGTATTTTTGTTTTATATCTGTGCACTGTGCACTGGTAACACCAAAAGGATCCAAAAGGATCCAAAGGGCATGTTTCAGAGTTCGAGCAGAGCAGCTATCATGACCAGTGAATGGTGGATGTTCATTCAGAAGCAACAGAAGTGAGTTAAGAAAGACCATTCACAGAGGGAGCGGCTGGTAAACTATCACATAACTATTGAAAATCACCACTTTTAATAGGTAGATCAACTCTAACCTGGGCCATTTTCCACAGCTATGTCACAAATTTCCGGAGGCTATCTCCTAGTCGACTCCCAAGTTTCGGAACTACCACGAGCACCGACCATTTTGCATCACAGCTGGGGGATCCGGGGCCAAATCGCCGATCAAAACTCCACCAGCCCCATCATATTAGCGAAGACCATGGTGCTGGAATATAAAAACCATTAAAAACCAACAAAACTGCCCAAAAGTCCAAAAAATCACCCAGTGACTTGTAGGTTTTTTATATACCAGCACCATGGTTCGCATATAATAAATATTAAACACATCCAATCAAGTCTTCAATGCACTTTTGTCCATTGCGGGTTGATCTCCAGGTGTTGAAACAGATCTTGGATCAGTTGCAGTTGCAGAAGGTCATCATGGTAGGCGACTTTTTCCAGCGATGAAACATGGGGATTTGGGGCTACGAATCGAGTTTTCCAAGCCGAATTTGCCATGAGATCTGGAGTTGACAAGGATAATGGGAAAACGGGAAAGACTATCTACTGTCATTGCAAAATGCTATTGATTCCTGAATTTCCTGATTTATATTCCTGATTTCATCGGCCCTTTTTTTGCGAAATTTGGTTGATTTTTAAAGGCTGTCATTTGTAAGATGGGATTCCAGTTAGAATTGGCCAGTTCATGGTGCAACAATGGGGATACCCAGTCAACGTGGTGGTTCAGATACTAGCATTAACAATTTGGTTTTGATCATCCCTTATGATCCAAATTGTTGAAATAAATGGAGGTGAAAATCTAAGAGCAATACTTCTAGTAACGATTGACCATAATCAAAAAGTCCAGCCTAAGATACTATGCAGGATACCATCTGGTTATTTAACAGTTCGCCATGGAAAATCACCATTTTTAATAGGTAAACCATCCATGTCTATGGGCCATCGAAAAACCATGGCGAACTGTGAATGTCATAACCAGAGGGTAATTTTCCAATGGTGAAAGTCCGTGGATCTGACTGGGCAGTCCAAATATCTTTGGACAGATTTGGAACGAAAAAAAAAATGTCCGGAAAGTTATAGTCAATATGTAAAAAACCTATCACAATCATGCAGTAACTTTGAGACCCCGCACATATAGCCACGGAAAATGGGCTTGTTCCCGCCTGCTACGCATCGTTTGTTGGGCTCGGCCGGCCTGTTTTTTTGGTGTTTTTTTTTTCGTGTTGAACTCATCAGACTAAGTCAACGTCAGACCTGCCATAGCATGACCTCTTTAAGCCCCCCTATTTTTGGCTTGGATACCCTCTGGTAATTTGTTACATAGCTATTGAAAATGGCTACAGAAATAGTGGATTTTCCCATTAAAAATGGTGATGTTCCATAGTTATGTGAAAGTTTACCAGAGGGTATCTATACCCTCTAGTGGTTCAATGGGAAATCCATGGAAATCCCCTTGAAACGGAGGTATTTTTTCGCGGGTTTTAGTCATCTATAGATGGTGAATTTTCCAGCAAGCCATGTTTGAGAAAACCCATTATGGTTGTAAATTCCATGATCTCACCATGATATTCCCATGATATCCCATTATATCCCTATTATCCCCTATTATCCTATTATATCCTGCAGTGTCGATTTGGATGCGAGGCTACTCCTTGGGTGGACGTGTAGCGATGGGCTTTGCAGACAGGCCAGGCCAGTGGGGAACACCAACGAGGCGTTCTGGATGACAAAGAGCCTGACCGGGATATATCATATTCTCATCAATTCTCCACCAACGAGATATAGGGGTTTCATATGGGGCATCCCCAAGTCACCATGGGTTTCAATATTTTTCAATACTCGAATGGTCTAATGTAGCTTGGAACCATGGCTATATCCCCATGACTTAGGAAACCGGTTTCTTTGCTTGAGATGCACCCCCCGTAGTTCTATAATGATACAACGTTGGTTGTAAAAAAAACATCTATAGATACATCCCCCTAATCAACCCAAGAGATTTTGTAGTTCCTTGAACGGGCTCTGGTTCATTGATTATAATCTCTTGGCTATGGTTCATTGATTATAGATTATTTATAAACAAATTTAGTTATCAAAAGGCCCCACATTGTACAATAGCCATGGAAAATCCACCCCATGACGCCGTGACTCCGCGCCGCAGCTATCCGGAGCGTTGTGCGGCGTTGATGGTTTTGCCCGGGGCCAGAGTCGAATTGGCGGAGCTTGACCGAACTGAGGGGCCAACAGCCGCATCTGTTCAGGTGGACGAATGGAGTTAGTTCACTAGTTAGTAAATGAATATAAATGAACATATAATTGAATATAAATGATTATAAATGAATTGTAATTGGAATACAGTTGTTTATAACCCAGTTACTAACCAGTTTGGCTACATAATCCCATTGCCTTTTTTAAGTTCTGAATATACTGGTGGATGCGGTGGATGCTCAAGTGTCAGGCTCTCCCATGAAGGAATGTCATGGGTATCCCCAATTTACACAGGATTGTCATGTTCTTCCCCATCAAAATAACATGTGTATTTGGATATATTTGGGAGTAAAAAAAGTGCTTTTGTGCAGTTTCATCCATTTTCAGAGACAGCCATGGCCATCATCAATTTGTCAATGAACTTCCACCTTTTTTGGGGGGAAGCAGGATGATTCATAGGGATGTTTTTTTCAGCCTATATCGGATATACATCGATTTTTTTGGTCTGGTTGGATGAACATGAAATCGGACACAAATCAGCGGCAACAACACCTCCAAAAAGAGAGACTTGGTAAGTCTCAACGACTGGTTCATCCTGGTTAATGATGGTTAGTGATGGTTAATACAGTTAATGCCCTGGTTAATGGTGGATAATGGTTGTTAATGCTGGTTAATATCATCCATTTTCTGCCAACTAGCCGCCTCACTTGAAAGGTAACACGACTGATGCAGAATGGGTGCCATTTGCGAATCCGAAAAGGGATCACCGAAGTTTCGTTCTTCGAATGTTTGGTCATGGGAAGTCCCCTGAAGCTGGGCCCGGTCAATTGTCATTTAAATTTAAGACATCTTAAGACACAACCACGGAATTTGCTTGACTTTCAGCATTAACTTTTTTTGGGGCTCCAATTTTGATCCACATTTATTGGACCAAAAGAGACATGATTTATGCTAAAACACGGGTTTTAGGCAGGTTTTCCCTTAAACCAACCTAGTGAAAATATGGGATAGAAGGTGATGCCATCTAGGCAAAGTTGGTGGATATTACTTGATATTAGGTTAATGAGCAAGTCTCTAAGGTGGTTTGTGGTAGATATTACATGATTTTATGATATCAGACTATATCTTATTATCTTACCCTCTATATAGTGGTAATTTGATATAGTTCTGAAGTGTTCTGGAAGCGATGGCCGCCATGTCTCATTGAGTTTTGTGATTTACCTCTAAGACAAAGTGATTTTTCCAGTTCGCCAACTGTGACAGATTCCCCGACAAGGTGAGGCATCCAGTTATAGATTGGTTCATGATTTAAAACCCCATCGAACTAGTTAGATATCCCCCATAAACTCAACCGTTATTGTAGTATCCTGGGGGCCCCACATTGTACCTTGTTTTTTTGCTTAAACTCCCATGGATCACCATAAAATCCCATCAAATTGCATAGAAGTCCCACGAAGTCCCATAAAATTCTCATAATTTCACAATAAAATCCGACAAAATCCCATGAATTCCCATCCATTCCCATAAAATCAATCAAGTCCCATCAAATTCCCAGTCCAAATGGGGATGGGTCAAAACCCTGGTACCTAGTGAACCCCAAAATAGCTGGTAAATGGATGTTCATCCCACTAAAAATGTATCTATAGGTATTGACCCATACCCAAATGACTAGAGTTGGCTGCAGGGTAACTAATTTTTTTCCACGCAACGACCTCGCAAGGTCTGCCAATCCTGGTGTCCTGACAGAGGAAGAACGACATCAGCGATGGCTTTTGGACCAGCGACATGCCAAGCAACTGACCCAGCAAACCTTTGAGGCGCCGACCATCTGTGCCGTTGTTCAACACCATGTTGCTAGCATGTGGGGCCCCCAGTCTCCTTATGTTTGTTGTTTTTTTTGCCCATGAATACTATATTTACTATATGTAGTTATACGTATCATAAACCATAGTTATTGGAGTTATGTTCGGCAACTTAGCTATCTTAGGGACCCCACGAATCGGGGATCTCCAAAACCAGAGGTTTCACTACTGAAATATCTAAAATAGTCGAATGTTGAATGATTTGGAGTTACCCCTATTTTAGGAAACCTCCATTGCATCTCATTGCATAATAATGGGGTAATGGAGTATATCACCAGTAATATGATATATATATATAATTATATGAACTAAATATAACTCAGGTGTTCAGAAACAATTTTCTTAGTGGATTTTTTTTATGGGTGACTTCGTGGATTTTTCATGATGCTTTTTCAGGACATATCATGGTTTCATAATGGCATTTTTTTTGGGGATACCATTTATGTATTAACCATATACCCATAGGATCCATAGTGCTGCTATGGTAACATGGATCCCATCAATATACCCCAGTCATGTTAGCATATATACCAGCACCATGGATCCTATGGGATAGAATGTGGATTTCATTAACCATCAAACAAATGCATGCTATGGGATAATGAATGGGAAATGAATGGGATATGTAACCCACATGATCTGATCTCTACTAACCACAATGTGGGGCCTCCGTTCGATAGCCAAGTTGATTTAGTTCACTACTGGTTCTATGACTGTTGGCTTGTGGGGTATAGCGTTAATTCCGCGATTTGCGTGCTTTACCATCTGGTAAACTAACATGACTATGGAAAATCACTATTTTTCAATAGGATTCAATAATATTCAATAGGTAAATCACTTTTTCAATAGCTTTTTGTATGTTTACCAGGCCGGGTAGCATTTGGTGATTGTTCACATGGCTGTAAATCCTCCGCGTCCCAGAAAACCTCCATCGATTAGCACGCCATGGAGCTCATTTCCAGGGGCTATGAAAAACCAGGGACATAACAATACAGGATGGTGCCCCCCAGTTACCCTCTGGTTATGACATTCACAGTTTGCCATGGTTTTTCGATGGCCCATAGAAATAGAGGTTTACCGTTCTTAATAGCATGGTGATTTTCTATGGCGAACTGTTAAATAACCAGATGGTACTGTATAAGTTGGTTTATAAAGCCCATAAAGACTAGTTCGTTAGATCTACCATAAACCATAATTAAGCAACTTTTTTACGGCAACTTCGTTATCTTGGGGGGCCCATCCTGTAGAAGCTAGGAAGATTCATCAAAAGATTACCCTTCGGAGTCCTCAATCTTGGCTGGAAAGTCCTCCAGTTCGATTTAGTTCGAGCATAGGAACATATGAAAAACAAAACACTATCTGGCTGGTGGTTTGGAACATTTGTTATTTTCCATTTCATATATGGGATAATCCTTCCCATTGACGAACTCCATCAAATTTAAAGCTGGTTAATATCCCACCAACCAGCTATAAACGGAGGCTTGGGAAAACAACATCTATAATTTAATGTTGGATTATCCAGTAAGGCATTTTTGATTTGCGGAGGGTATAGAGTTCATAAGCCAAACTTTGGAATCATCAATGAACATTGGAAAGCACCAATGAACAAATATCTGAGATGAATCATATACATCCATATACTATTTTTTCTAACTATAAATTGGGAGACGATGTACCAGTCAAGGAACAAAACTGGCACTCCGACTCCCAGCACAAAATGAAAATATGCACGGACATACAGTAATACATAATATATATATACACATATGATACAGGTATTAAAAGACAATGGGCAAATAAATGCCGCACACGGACATGTACATCAAAGTTCTATTTAACATGCATATGTATATGATCATATATATTATATGTATATACATGTGTGTTTGTAAATTATATTATATATATATATTGTCAACTTCAACGGTTGATCTAGCTGTTGACAAGACATGTATAACATACATGCCCAATATCATACATGAACTGGTAAACCCAACATAAACAACGCACATTTGGCGATGGGGATGGTTGGTGAATTGCCTGTAGGTAAATGATTTTGGTGAGTAGGTAATTTTATATAAACTATTATGAAATTATTGGGTTTACCACATTACTAACAAGATATAAATGTTTGTAGTAATAGTTTATAATATATATATATATATATACATATTGACATTTGTATCCGTATATGTCCAATTTTGTATCCCATTGTATTCCCATTAAACCTACAAGTTTTCTGTAAACAAGTCACCTTTGTTATGCAAAAAAAAACACAACTGTCAGATTTTTGATGATTTTTGTCTTCTCTGTATTGTGGTTAAACCCATTCAACCTCCATTTTTTTGGTTACACCCAAAAGGGTCACTGTACTCGAAAGGCCTTCCTGGACAGCTGGTATGCAGCACCTCTATGGGCAGGCACTTACTGGGAGTTTGCCAATAGTTCCCAGTGTGTTGCTGTTATTGGTTATTATCAGATTGATGCGGGCAAAACAATGCCATAAACCACCCATTTGGGAATGGTTTATACCTGCTTATTATTGTTATATTAAGCATATGATTGATTCTTATAATTGATAATGGATTATTATTGTCGCTATTATGATTATCCTTATAATGATTACTAGTGTCAGAACATTATTAATATTATATATGCAAGTGTATAACAGCTATAACTTATGAAGCCATCTATATATATGATATTTACATGTTCTTATGAGGTAGAACCTGAGGCGGTTGTGTTTTGTTGCCCAGATGTGGGTTTGGGTAGCCAACAGCAAGATGGTGGCTGAAACCGGCAGCAGTATCTTACATGGTGAGCTAAAAGCAACTACAACTACGCAATCATTGACCATGCTATAACCCATATGCTCCATGTATGGTATATTTACCTACAAAACTGGGCAATTTTTGGGGTAAATGTAGGTGTGCATATACCAGCACCATGGAGCATCTGGGTAATATACACATACATACCTACCCATACTGGTCCCATTACGCTTCATGTGTCACCGGTGGTTCATGTGCCACTTGCCAAGCATTGCCGTTCGCATCGCCAAGCAGGTTTGAAAGAGAGACGACCAGACGTCTATTCGCAGATGTTTGGCTGCCATGTTTTCTTTGTGCAAAGACGAGTGCAAGGGGAGCAACTTTCATGGAAAGCATAGGTTCATCCACAGCAACTGGGGCTATCCTCAACATAAGCCATTTACAACTAAGCTCAAATCAGGTGACCTATTCTTGGTTCTATGATATCCCCAGATTCGTGGCTGGCAAATACCACGGTAATACGGTAATCCTGGGATCGATTACATCGTTAGATGGGTTTCTAAAGCTACAAATTGATGGATGAGTTATCAACATTTAGCCATCAATCATAGTAGTCTATGTATATATATATTATATATTATGTATATATACATTTATCTCTTCTTATATAGACTGTATATCTACATTGATCTATATATCTATATTAATCTACATCTATCTACAGTAAACTGTTCCATAACTATATCAATTCACCAGTGTGTTTTTCTACCCCTTTCAGACAACCAAGGCTTGAGAAGAGGAGACAGACTCGTCCGTTGGCGTCTCAATGGACTAGCTGAGCCAGATTGACATGGGGAACACTCAATGAGTTTCCCCAAAGGAAATCCCAATTTGCCAAAGCTTATCCATATTTCACTGTTTGGTGGTTTCAAACATGACAACCTCTTTGTCCATTTCATATATGGGATGTCATCCCAACCCCATTGACGAACTCCATGATTTTTCAGAGGGGTAGGTCATCCACCAACCAGCCATATCATTTTGAACAATTTGGTATGCTGAATCCACGAAGATGCTACCAATTAACCAATACACCACATTGTATGAATTGATTTGGTGAAAATGACAACCACAGTCAACGATAAAACAATAGTCAACCATAAACCATAGCACTGTTTCCTTTTCAGAAAAAAGAACTGTGAAACCACATAGGTTGTGATTGTAAACCTATTGTAAACCTTAGTCAACCATAGAATTGTCATAAGCCTTAACAAAAACATGGGTTGACACCTCGCTCTGCCGCAGTTCAAAGACGAATTTCATGGGGGTTCCACAGCAGCAATTCACCAGCTCAATCACTTGGTGACACCTCGTACCAGCAGAAAAAGTTGACCCATGAATCCATTGTGAAAGAATCTACAACGACCTCAAGTCCTACCTGAAAATGGTTGTAGTGTAGGACTATTTACCTAGATTTGAAAGGAATCTCTATATATATATACACATATATGTATTTGTTACCATGTTCATTCTATGGAAGGATTCATTCTGAATAGTAGTTTGATGAACAATTACATCATACTGGGGAAACCATCAACACTGGCCCAACAAATAGGGTATGACGACTCGACTGCGCAAAGTTCTGAGGCACTTAGCAGCACATTCACTGCTGGGGTTGGAGCCTTGAGCGTTGTGTTGATGGGCTAATTGCCCCCTATTCATGGCAATTTTTAATAGGGAAAGTCGATGAACCGTCATCAACCATCATTAAACCATATATAACAATATTAAACATCTACCATCTGGTTATGACTAACATAGCCATGGAAAATCCCGAACATAAATGGAGGTTTTAAGAACGGTAAACCATCTATAAATGGGCCATTTTCCATGGCGAAACGTTAAATAACCAGAGGGTAACTGGATTTTTGGATGTTCTCCAAAAAAATGAGACACACCCAGATGCGACGGGAATTCGTTCGCAAAAAAAAGTGGTCTTTGACCCATTGAAAACGGAGATGGCACCCCAATGGCACCCCAAAAACGTCAAGGCCATGGGCTGTTTGGCTCAGTCTATTATCATATTATTACTATTATTATTATTACTATTATTACTATTATTATATATATATAGCATATATATATAGCATATAGTATAATAATAATATGTCATATAATAATAATAATCTTCACCAAGGCTCAGCCTCGCCTCCCAGCCGAACTTCCGGCCTCACTTGGGGCAACGCGTTCCCTTCTGGTGCCCCGGCAGATGGCTGTTGAGATTTCTGCCGGGCTGACCCCATGGCTGTTCTTAGGTGGTTAAACCATGAACATCTAGGGAAAATGGTGATTGAACCAGCAGTTGAATGGAATCTAAGTGGATTTTGTGGGAAACTTATGAGGATGAAATGGTGAAATTGTGATTTAACCCATGAAAATATGGGGAAAATTGAGGTAGAAGAATATGGATATTGTTCGCTGATATATGATAGCTGTGTGTTGGTCTAGTTCACTGCAATAACTAGTTCTGTTGGGTTGATAAGGGGGATATATACTTTTATAAATGGGCTTATAAAACCAACAAACATAGCGTTTTGGGGCCCCACTATGTGGGCACTTGGGAGTGCAGTTCCAGTGAACTATGTGGATAGATTTTACCATATTCCATACCATATGAATTACCCCTTATATATATATATATATACATACACATGGTATATCCCCAGTATGAGTATAAACCATGGATCCTAACGATGTACATCGTACGACTCGGGGAATCCTCCAACAGATTCTTTGTCCAGATGGCTGTGTTGCTACTGTAGCTACTCTCTAGTGATTTCAGAATGGCACTTGGAAATGCCGATCTTGACTCTGACAAAATGAACTGGAAGTGGAAAATATAGAAAGATATAGACATTTCTAATATTTCTATATAATGTGAATCTGACTTTTCCAATTTTTTCCATCCTTTTCCATAGAAAGATATAGACTAAGAGATGGTGGGTTTCCCATGTGTAAATGGGGCATTTTCCAGTGCCAGGTTTGTTCACGGACCGGGACAGTCCGTAAGATTTTGGCAGCACAAATCCAGGTAAATGAGAACCTGACACCACCAGCAAAATTCATGATTGCTACGGTCAAGCAACCCGAAATTACTTTTGACTATTTTATATTTTGCGGTGGTATTTTTAAGCTGCTAGTTGATGATGGTATCTTTAGCTATAGTATTTTTCCGGGACATGTTGGCAGCCCTTTGTTTGGCCAGTCAGGATGAGGAACCCCACTGGCTGCCCCCCATTCACAGGTAATCTGGCTGGGTCAATCTTTAGCTATATAAGAGTATAATATGATGATACAGCTATATTATTATAAGAGTATTAATAATACTATGATTAATACATATATAGACATCATATATGTCTAGATATGTTAAATTATGTTAATGCAGGCATATTACATATACATATATTCACATGCACATCTATACTTGTCTGAACTTGGTTTTCCGGCAGAATGCGACACGAATCAGGTATGTTTTTGGTGAGCTGGACAGCAAGTTTGCTGAGATCGGGAAAGACTTGGCAGCATGTTCGTCTAAGGTGCGACTGGTACGCTGCCACTGTGCCACTGGTTCATTTGTAGTTATCAGCTGATGACTAAGCTGAACCAACAGAAACTTCGGATTCTGATTTTTTAAACTACAAGAGTTGCCACATCCTCACCAGAGTTTTATTGGTTTGTATCAGATTTCCACTCCTCCATCATCTATGTTCCATTAAATCAGTGGCTTTGGATGATTGGTTGTTCTAATTTTTGGGGTTGATGGAGCCATTTGATCCCAATGAACTACCGATTTTTGGAATGATAAAATCAGTTAGACTCACATGAACTGATTTTTTCTTTGGAATGATCAAATGACTCAATCTTTTTTCAGCATACATCATTGGTGAAGACTGGTGAAGATCGGTGATGTTCCCTCAAGAGGCCAGAACATCTCCCGGTGATTCCCAAATGGATTGCATGTGTCGACAGTTCAAAATGCGACGGGAACAGAACATCCTCGAATTGGCCGGCAAACGGCCGTGGTTTAACCGTGAAGATGGGGATACTTCAGCTATTCAATACATAACTTGCACATGTTTGGTCAGTGGTTACACAATGTCCATGGCTATTTTGATGGATTTTACCAGCTAGACACCTCCATCTTTTTGGGGAGTTTCCAATTCCCATGTTTGATTTTTAATGGTTACAATCGATTTTACAGTCGTGTTTTTCCACGTCCCTGGAATGATTTTTCTGCCAGGTCCATTCCCTTCCATGTGGTCATGCTGTGGTAGAAGAATGCCCCAGAGAGGCTCTCCGAAGCGACGCTGCGGGGATTTGATTTCACCAAACCCCGGTGACCTGAAAAATCGCTGATTTTTCAGCGCCATTCGAACGGTGGTTGATATCAAGCCTATTCATGAAGCCTCATTAGGATATTTAGGATGGTGGGGAACGCTTTCAGGCACTGAATTTGCTAGCGAAGGCAATCTGAAGTTGGACTGGACCTTGAAATCGAGGACTTTGACGACTTTTGCATCATGCAATGTTCAAAGGCCTGCAATAAATTGGTTTGTCTCAAAATAGGATACCTCTAAATCCGTTAGACATCATTTTCCCTGTTAAAGTGTAGCATTTGTTCGGAAAAAAAACACCATTTTCAGGTCCTTATCCCCAACTTATCCCCAAGTTTTTCCCTGAAATGTGTGGTTTTTCACCAGAACCACAACTGGAGGTTTATGGTTGGGTCCAGCTCCGATGAAGGTGGCCGATTTGCTGTTAAGCCTGGTGAAGCAATTGCCTTCTCCATCTGCTCCAAAGGCCGGCACGTCTGACATGTGGGAGAATTTCACATCTTTTTTAAGGTACAGTAGAAAGTAAAACATCACTAAGTTGGATGTTTTTTATGTTTCATTTTTTTTGGAGGTTGCGTTATGATGCTATATGTGTAGTATAACCTTTTTTTACCCGGTGCAAACACGGCGATTCTCCCGCCATTACGAGATGGCGTGGGTACCGGGTTCAACTGGTGGTTTCATCTTGTAATGTTGGTTAGCTTTCACATCTTTGGGAGGGTTGAAACTAACAATTCAATAATTTGTCCAAAGCCAATCAAGAAATCATTTATCCTCCGGCAAAGGAACGTTCATACGAAGGAACACATCTTTTGTCATTGATATCTACATGGGGTTTTGGCCAACATGGGAATCTGTAGCAGCAAGAAACGCAACGCATATATCAATCAAGAGATTCATAGGAACCTGGTTGGTGGTTTGGAACATGAATTTATTTTTATTTTGCCATATATTGGGACTAATAATCCCAACTGACGAACTCCATGATTTTTCAGAGGGGTAGGGCTCAACCACCAACCAGGATAGGAACCACTAGGTAACAAAAAATAGTGATGGACAATGTGCATCAATTTACCATCTGGTTATGACTAACAGTTCGCCATGGAAAGATCCACCCATTTTATTTATAGGTAAACCATCTATTTCTATGGTCCATCTATACCATGGCGAACTGTTAAATAACCAGAGGGTATATCACATTAAATCCCATTAAACCACCATAAAATCCCATTAAATCACATTAAATCCCATTACCATTTTTTAAAAGGTAAATCATCAAACGAAATGGGCCATGGCTTCGATGGCATCACTGGAGGCACCGAATTTGGCCTTTGATGATTTTGGATGGTCACAAGCGATGAAACTCCCAATTTTTTCCCGCTGGGAAAAAGGGGTAGTGAAAACAACGTCATCTTTCACATCTCAAAAAGTTTATGTCACATTTTTTGGTGGGTGAAGTTATCATTCTTTTGAACTGATCATATTTTCTTTTGGCACTAAGTCCCTTATTGTTTGGCTTTTTTTTTGGCAAATTGATAGCTAAAAAATGGTGAAATCTCCCTTCAGCCAGGTGAGTCACCATTATGGGATAAGTTATTGGGATAGGAATGGAATATAGTAGTATATTATATATTGAATAATGAGATTATATAATGGGATAAAATATAAAATAGAATATATAATATGGGATAATGATGGGATCATACATCTATATATGTAGATGTATATATATACACATAATAGTATGAGCCATGGAATATTAGTTTTTTACATTCTGGTAAGCAAACATGGGGCGCTGAAAAATCTCACATTTACTTCGGTTATGTTACAGCGGCCATGCTTAACGGATGGTACAAGCCCATCATATCTCACCAATTCACCATTGGTTTGCGAAATACCACCATTCCCGCCCCCCGATTATATTATCATAGGTCTGAAAAATGACGTATTATTCCAGAATATGTTTTTTTCTGTTATGAACTCGCACAATTATTGATCCACAATACCAGTATTACCATTGTTGTTATCCTTGTCTATCCAGCCGCAGCTTCGATATAATTTTTGGGCTAAGTCCCTTTTCAAGTAGAAATTGGATCCATAGTATATTATTATTGTAATAGTAAGACTTATATGCTATTATTCCGTAAATCATATGTCTATAATCCTTATCTTATTATTGTTGTCCACTGGATTATTCTTATATTATTGTTACTATTGTATTATCATTATTGTTACTATTATCATGATTATGATGGCATTATTACATGTTTTATCCTTTTTTTTTTAAATCTATATATCTTTATTCATATGGTTACTAATAACTAAGAAGATCCAAATTTATTTATATCATTATTAACTATTGTTACTAAATATTACTAATATAGAATGAGTGTTCCATCTTCAAATCCTTCCAGCCCGAGGCCAAAGTTCTCCAACTCACGGCTGCCTGGACTGAGCCCATTCAACTCTTGCTGAAGGCCGTGGCCAATTCCCAGAGTTGGAAAATTCACGGGAAACCCATAGGAAACCCATAGGAAAGCCATAGGAAACCCATAGGAAAGCCATAGGAAAGCCATAGGAAACCCATAGGAAACCCATAGGAAACCCATAGGAAAGCCCTAGAATTCATGGTAAAAACCGTGGTGTTTCCGGTGATTCGATTGTCACGTCGGAAAACAGATTTTTCTCATCCCAGCCATGGTTTGTTTCCATGGAATCATCCCGATGAGGGGCCGAAGTGTGAAATTACCAAATACCCTCTGGCCCTCTGGTTATTTAAGAGTTCGCCATGGAAAATGGCCCATTTATAGATGATTTTCCCAGCTACAAACCTCTATTTCCATGGCTATGTTAAATAACCAGAGGGTATCTAACATCTCTAATTCAGAAAGTTGGGAAATACCCATGAAATATCTCCAGTTATATCTAGTTATACTGTTCAGTTTGGGGAATCATCAATGGCCAAAGTCTTATGAACTCCTCAACCCAAAAAAAATCTGAACACCGAACCATCCTTGAAACACATTTCTATTTACAGGTGTGCTCCAGATGGATGATAGATGTCCGTTTTCCACACGCTTTGTTTATAAAAATAAAGGGCTTAAAGTTATGAGATCTTCTGGGGGCCAAGGACGAAATTAGCAAATAGCATAGTTGTCAATATTTTGTCAATATGTTGTCAATTCTTCACCAGTTTAGGAAAAAAATCTAGGGAATTGGCAAAACAATGACAATTTTCAAGGGAATTAACCATGAGTTACAGTAGTAGGGGATTTACAGATTCTTGGGACCATAATGCGGGGGGTGTTCAATGTTGGGATGGGATACACATCTTGCTGGTGTTCTTGCTGGGAGCCCAAGAGCTGCAATCAGACCCCATATGATACCGTAGTTATTTTCATCCATTGGACTTTGCAATGTTAACTTTGGGGAGTCTCCAATTATTACTAGAAAACCAAGGACAAAAATACTTTTTGACCGACTATGATCTTACCCGTCGCCAAACGGCAGGCACCGCTGCTGCTGTCCAGAGGCGATTTGATGCCGCAACGCTCCGGGGTGCTGCTGGTCTTGCAGGTGCCGTGGAAAATTCATGGTGAGTCTTCCGGGAGCTGAGTCATGAAAGAAATGGGGAAAATGGCTGAAAATGGAAGTTTTAACATGTTTTAACATGTTTTAACATGTTTTAACATGTTTTAACATGTTTTAACTGTTTAACCTCAGAAAATGGTGATTTAGAGCTAAATTTGTTGAGTTCACTACATTGAGTAGGGGTTGTTGGAGATATATCATGATATGTCACCGGAAAACCAGGTCTTGCATAATCCCAGATCAACATCAATCAACAATAATATGTCCAATGGTTAGTAGTGGGGCCCCATCTATAGACTGATTGGTGGTTTGGAACATGAATTTTATTTTTCCATATATTGGGGATAATAAACCCAGCTGGCTAATATTTTTCAAGATGGTTAAAACCACCAACCAGTTTAGATATATCCACCAGAAATCCTAGTTATTGCAATGGGGGCACACGATGTAAGTTAGTTTAGTCGTTTAGTTCACTACAACAACCCTTGGCCTGATTGGGGAGGATGTTGAACTAGTTAGATGGGGCTATAAACCAACTTATAACATCTTGTAAGTAGGCGGCTCCGTTATGTACAAATTCAGTTATGTATCTTCAAGGAAGAAGTTTGATATAGTTTGATCATGTTTGATTCTGTTTGATCTATATAAAGAAAAAACAATCTGGGTGCGGATGGGTTGAGCATAGTTCGATGATCGCTTTCTGAAAGAAAACATGTTCTTGGATGAAAAAACAGATGTGACATGTGATACGCTTTTTTCACTGTTGGGTGGTCACTTGAACATATGACTTGTTAGTGACAAAACATGGTCACAAATTCTCATAGCCGAAGGTATCCCCGCTTCCCCAGTTAATGTTGTTTGTTTATTCTTGGTTAAGTTACGCTTTGGTAAACTAACAGTTTGCGAACTGGACAAATCACAACTTAATAGGTAAATCAACGAACTCAATGGGCCATGTCCAATAGCTTTGTTAGTTTACCGGAGGGGAGTGGTTTTATTGCCATCACGGTTCAACATTTCCTGATTGGTGGTTTGGAACATTTTTTATTTTTCCATATTTTGGGAATAATCATCCCAACTGACTTTCATATTTTTCAGAGGGATAGGTATACCACCAACCAGTTTCCATTGACGTGAATGACTTCCCCTCCGCTGGAAAAGTCAGGCGCAGGTTGATGGTGCGAAGATGGCTGGTTTGGGTGAGGCGAGATGAGATTTGTGTCTTGATGGATGCAATGGGATACACACAATATTATAATATATTGTATAATTATGTGTATATATACGTATATATATATATGTATATATTTATATATATATATACATAATTATGTTATGTATATATGATGTTATATCTGTCTATATATATATATTATACACAGTAGCCAACTTGATATGATACTTGGGTGTGTTTGAAATTTTGCTATAACCCATTTCGTTTCATTAAAAATAATAGGGACATGATGAGAAACCATTGGATTCGGTGACCCTAAATTGACGGTTTACTGTAATATCACAACAAGTGGTTGGTGGTTTGGAACATTTTTTTTATTTGTCCATATAATTATCATCCCAACTGACGAACTCATATTTTTCAGAGGGGTTGAAACCACCAGCCGGAACAACTTTTGTGGGTAGCCTTGTATTTGGGCAAATTATGAAGAAATGATTGGCCAGCTGCACTAGAAACGCTCGTTCACACATTGTAAGGGGACCTACTTGTACACCATAATTGGACAAACATGATGTATTTCAATGTGATTACTACTACAGTATCATTTGTACGCGTACCATGTGTTTTTTCCTTCCGCGCAGGTGAAATTTGGTACTGGGTAAAATTGTGAATGATTAGACCCTAATCTGGAAAGGTTTCACAATTGGAATTGGATTTCTGGGAAGGGCATGGAAGAACCCTTCCCTTTGTCGTTGTTCGTCTTTCAGCACATGTTTTTTTTAAATCAACACAAAGATACACTGGTTGGTGGCTTGGAACATTTTTTATTTTTCCATATATTGGGAATTTCATCATCCCAACTGACTTTCACTCCATCATTTTTCAGAGGGGGTAGGGCTCAACCACCACCAGACCATTATTAAACCACATTAAACCACATTAAACCACATTAAACCACATTAAACCACATTAAACTTAACCATTCTATATTTGTTTAATCACTGCTAGTTGAACATGACAAGACTTTTTCACAATCCAGTTCCAGCGTGGCCACGGAGACTCCGCACCAGGTGACACCTCTTCCATTGTTTCACAAGGAGACTTTAGATGAGGCGAGACTGCTGGGTGGTGATTGAACACCATTGATTTTGTTTCCCCAAAAATGTTGGGGTGCCCTAAAGCCATGGCTTAAATATGGTTTGACATTGAACACCTCGAAAAACAATTGGATGATTTAGGGCCCAAATACTTTTTTTTGAAAAAAAACTGAATGAGTTGGTTTCTCTAACCAACAAGACTTTGGTTTTAAGATCCAGTTGTAAACTCAACTGATTTCAGTTCCCAGTTCCCATTTGTTTCCAGGCTTGTGGGACCTTTCAAAGATGATCATTTCTGATGTGAGTCATAATTAGTTGGACACCCAACTTGGATGATTTGATACTTAGAACATCTTATAGATCTTGGTTACCTGGTGATTTCATGATATCTCATGGGGGTAAACCATGAACAATTGTGATCGAACTATATATATATACTATAAAATGGGATATTTGATGGGATTTTATGGAAGAACTGGAAGAATGTACCCTCTGGTAAACTAACTAACATAACTATGGAAAGATCCACCATTTTCTATCTAGCTGGGTAAATCCACTATTTCGACTGGGCCATTTTCAATAGCTATGTAACAGTCATTACCAGGCCGGGTACTGTACATCTGGATTTCCCGAGTCGATTTCTGCGAAGCACGGTGCTGGTATATAAAAACCTACACAACTTGGTGATTTTGGACAAGGGCAGTTCTGTTGGTTTTTATATACCAGCACCATGGTGAGCTAATATGGGAGATCATATCCATCCCAATCTGAACAAATCCATGGCCGTTCTACCATGGGGCACCCAAATTCGAAGAATTTTTAACCCACCTGGGGAGGGTTGGTTTAGTTCACTACAAGAGCTATAGTTTCGGTTGGGATACAAGCCAACAAACATAAAATGGCAGTGTGTCAAAACCTTGTACCCCTGGTGAACATCAAAATAGCTGGTAAATGGATGTTCATCCCACTAAAAATGGTATGTATAGGTATTGACCCATAGCCAAATGTTGGGTGCCCCACTATGTAAAGACTGAAATCGAAGCCTGAAATCTCTGGACACTGTTGCCAAGTGATTTTTCTTTGCTTTGTGGACACTTCTCGGTACGGCATCCCTTTTTGTTTTTAGGGTGGTGAACGGAAGACTTTGGCACTGACACCCTGATGTGAAACACCCAGCCACTGGTTGATCTGCATGAGTGTAATCAAACCACGTTTGAAATTGACTACAATGTGAGGCCCCCCAGTGATGTTTGTTCGTTTATAAGCCCCAGTAACTATAGTTATTTGCGTACCATAAACCATAGTTATTGGAGTTATAAACCAACTTAGCTATCTTGGAGGCCTCACATTGTACCACAAGCAAGGGATGATGATCTTTGAAGATAGTCAAGGTACGAGTTGACAAAGCATTACCCGCTGGTGTCATCAAACCTGGCAATGGAAATCCATCATTCATAGATGATTTTCCCAGCTGGAAACCTCCATTTCGTTCGGGAATTCCCAGGCTTCAACAAATCCAACATGTCCCTGAACAGTTTTAGCCATGGGATGAAATTACTCCTGCAACTGGTTGGATATATACCACTTCAATGGGCTTTTAAGCCAATTTGTAACCGGTTTTTTGGGCTAAAGGCTATAACTGAAGAAGTCCAAGGGGAAGCTCAGGCAGAAAGCCAGTTGAACTACATCTTGGCACAGTGGAATAGCCGACCTCCAAAGGTGTGGCTGCGGTCAGCTGGGGAAGTTTTTGATCGATACGTAGGCATGTCTAGTTGTGTATCATGTATGATTGCTAATTGAATCTAATAGCATGTAACAATGTCATTAGAATAATCACACTAAAACTATATATGACAACATGTAAGAATGTAATTAGTAATCATGTGAATTCATGTAATCAGTATAAAGCACAACAGAACTATTAGTTGTAATTTAGATATCCTCTTGACACGTTACACATACTACAAAGTCAGTGGAGCCCCCCACAGTCCATCCAACTAGTTCGATGATTTTCCTAGAGAAAACATGGTGGTTTCCCCATATCTATTTGACTTTACCTTAGGCTATTATGAATTACTGATGTTCACGAATCAACCGGTATATGATGTATATGGATTTGTATGACAAATTAGGGGAAAAGCATGGACAAGCCCCAATTTTTGAAGTTTATCATGAGTTTCATTGATTTCGCCTATAGTAATCTAATCGCAATATTTATGGGTGTAGGCACATGTTCAGGTCCACATTCCCGGTGAGATAGTCCATTTTATCCATCATGATACATTACTGGTATACCCGTATCTAGATGGGCCACGGGGAAAAGTGAGCGATTCCTGGTTCGGAACTGGGTCTCACAAACCACCATATCCCAGATGCTCCATGTATGGAATATTTACCTACATTTCGGCAATTTTTGGGGTAAATGTAGGTAAATATTCCATACATGGAGCATAAGGGTATGATATCCCAATCTTATAATCCATTTACGAAGTAGTGAAACTAACTAACCATGGCCATCCATGGCCGATCTAAGTACTTCAATCAAACTTTTCAACCAGGATTTATACTTTATACAGTGACGTTGAAGTGGTGAAGTGCTTATTTCATGGTTTAGACCCAGTAAAATGGTCTAGATGGGCCATGGAGTTTTTGTTAACTGGTTAGTAAATGGATTCACTAATTGGGATATAGGGGTAACAAATCCCCAGTTACTAACCAGGAATCGCGTTTTTCCCATGGCCCATCTAAGTAAGATCCCCATGGAAATGCCTTCAGGTGCCATTCGACCTTGGTCGATTGGATGGTACTTTGACCAAGTGGTTGGACCAGCAGTGTACAGGCGTTCCGAGCGGGGCGCTGCGTAGATGATTTTCCTAGGGAAGCCATGGCTACTCAACATCTAAACGTTTAGCCCCAGGGTAAATCGCTGGTTTATAACTCCAAGAACTAGGGTTGATTAGGGGGTTATAGTTATATATTGAACTAGTTAATGTGGGTTCGAACACGATTTTTATCTGGGACTAGGCAGTTATTTTACCCTGTAACATGGAAAATCTACTGCCAATTCTGCTGAGCAGTGCCATTGTACGACAAAAGTTGTGACAGAACCATCAAGCTGGTGTCTTTCAGTATGCTTTTCCCTTTTTTCCATCTTTTCTGGATGGTTTCAGATAAGCAGACATGGTGATACAAAACCACGAACAAATGGAGGTTTCCTAAGTCATGGGGCTACCCCCAGTCATCATCCAGTCGTCACTGATGACCAAACTATAGTCTTTTTCAACAAGAAAATGGTGACTTTGGAACCCCGCTGAAGCGAAACCACCATAAAATATGGAGGTTTTGCGAAATGAGGCTACCCCTATATAAACCTAATATAAACCATAAAATATGAAAGTTTCCTTCAGAAACCACCATAAAATATGGAGGTTTTCCTTTCACAGTATAAACCAACCTAAAGCAACCAGCGAGCTAAAGGGGTACCAGCATGACTTAGGAAAGCTCCATTGAATGGCTCATAAATGTTGGGTTCCTGGTGATTTAAATCACCTTTCTTTTTTTGTCTCTAGGGCACTGCATGGGATGATCTATGATCCCCACATCCAGGGGTTGACCATTCTGGATTACATAGTGGGCTTCCCTAGCTATGGGTGAGTGTATCCCCCCATCAGAGTAGTTTGATATATCCTCCATAAACCCTATATATTTGTTTTATTTCTAGTGAACTAAACAAACTTAGCTATCCAAAAGGGGGGCTCACATTGTAAGATTGTTCCATTTCGTGACTGAGTTCGACAGGCAACCTCTTACCATCGGTGAGAGCAGGACTTGAAATGGCCACGGACTCCCAAGGGGATGGAGGAATTTGGCCGGTCCAAATGTGTCAGGGTCCAAATATGGCTTACTTTCCCATGCATATTGGGGGATGGGAATGCTCAATCGATTTTGATAAGGAGTTAACTTAGTTAGCCCATGAATACACTTTACTTTAAACTTTTGTTCTTTTTATTCATTGGGTCCGCGCCCGCACGCCCCTAAGTGCCCCAAAATAAGCTTCTTTTTATGCGCGCGTGCGGGCGCGGACCCAATGAATTTACTGCCATTAATGGGGATGGACTCATCATAAGGATTCCCATAGCATATCCCCAATCGCCTTTATTTTTTTGGTTAAGCCCCCATTAATCCCCATTAATTCCAATGTCTATGTTGGTTTTATCAACATTAATATTCAGACACATTGCTGGGGGAAAACAGTTTCCTGTCAATGTGTAGCCAAACTATAATATCAATTATATCCTATATATACAATGTGAACATGTTTTGGAAAACTGTTCAATTGAAATTATGTGACTTTTCATTTATAACAGATCCACTATTAAAATGGCTATTAAGGCCGGGCCATTCTATAATATTGTATCATTAATGTACAGTCATTGAAATAGCCGTTGAAATTGAAAGCCATTTTGAATATCCTTTGAAATATCAGTTATACTAGTGAATATTGATTTACACCTTTTAATCATTTATATAAGTATTCACTATCAAAATGGCTGTTTAATATCCATACATATCAATATCAACTGTCAAAATTGCTTTTGACTATCCATATCATTGGTGATGCATTGTATCATAACATTGTCAGCATTGTCACATATCATAGACATTTTCAACATATAATCATCACATTAAATATAAATTGGTGAGGTAATATCACACTATAATTAACATGATCTAATACCTTAGTTTACTACAACATTACCAATCTACTATATTCATGGCCATATCAATGTTATCATGTTACTTATCATCGATTATTAACTTAATGATATCAATTATATATATATAGATAGATAAATCATCAACATTGATATATATATATATATTGTGTATCAACATTATTCAACATTAGTATTATCAATTATATCTATTAGTATATGTATGTAACATTATTTTCACATTATCATATTCCGGGCCACCATTTTTAACTCCTGGCCAGCAAGAACGCTGAGGCCTTGCTCCACCTCTTACGGCGAGCACCCGAAGGTTGGCGGAGGTTGGCGGGGAAACAAACTGGGGGATGATGGTGATTGATATAGGCTTTACCCTCTGGTCATTTAACATAGCTATGGAAAATGGCTCATTTGTAGTTGATTTACCTATTAAACATGGTGATTTTCCATAGTTATGTTAGTTTACCAGAGGTTAATATTCAGCATCATGGTGATTTAATGGGATATAAGTCATGGAACAAAAATATATATATTTGCATTGGCGATGGTGATTGTTTTGTTTTCTATCCCTCAAGCCAATCCAGCACATTCATATAGGGGTTTTAACATTTTTTTAACCATCAACAAATGGTGATTGAATGGGATAATCATTGTTTTCATGGATGTTTTTTTTGGACAATCATGCTTAAGGATGGTGAATTCGATGCTGATACCCTCTGGTTATTCAACAAATAGCTATTGAACATGGCCATAGAAATAGTTGATTTTCCCATGAAAAATGGTGGATCTTTCCATCGTGTTTTGTATGTTTACCAGGCCGGGTAATATGGTGATCATGAACATTTATCCAATAAAAATAGCATGCCACCATGGTTTCGGATGAAATGGGAGCTCTTGGGGGCGGTTTCTGGGCCCTGGTGAAGGGGGGAACATGATATCTGCATTATCTTTATTGAAATGCACATGGGCATCTAAGATGAAACATGCTACCATGGGCATCAAATCCGATTTATTTCCATCAATCTCCAAGTGGGATGTATTGGGACTGAAGTATTGGGATGTATTGGGATACATTGAGATATATTGGGATATATTGGGATATATTGGGATATATTGGGATATATGCAGACAATACCCTCTGGTAAACTAACAGTTTGCTATTGAAAATGGCCATAGAAATAGTTGATTTTCCCATTAAACATGGTGATTTTCCATCGTTTATTGTATGTTTACCAGACAATACCCCATGTTGAGATTTAGGGGATACCATCCCTTCCCCCTAGAAGAAAGCGGCCATGAACAAACCGCTGGTGGGGTGTGGACTTGTTCATGTACCGAACTCCCATCCTTTGGGGTGCTTTATGAAGTTATGAAGAGCCATGAGATTAATAGGAATGAACTAGAAAATAGACCTGCTTGATTTTTTAGATGAAGTAAGCACAAGTAAGCCCAATAAGACTGGCTTCAGATTGGGGCTGTGGTACTAGTTGCAGTTGGCTCATCATTGTTTGACAATTTGATCCTTCGATCCACCGGCCATGTTTAACAAAATTGGAAATTTCCATGTCCGCCCGAAATCTATGGGTTTTCAAAAAGGATACCCTCTGGTAATTTAAGCTATGGAAAAGCATCATTGTTAATTAATAGGTATATATGATGATATAATTCGTCTATAAATAAACATTTTTTCATAGGTATGTGAAAGAATTAGAGTGTATCTGAGGTGGGTGGTGTTAAGTTTTATGTTTGAGCACAGATCCTCCCTCGGGACTCGCTCAGAATCCCTATTCCCATTGGACATCGTGGGTTTTCATGTCCTCCATGAACATGTGTAGCAAAGGGGACCGCTGCAAAGGGGTGACGCTGGCATTGTTATACTATAGGACATTCACGCTTGATTTCATTGGGATTGCGATATACTAAACACATTCCAAGGGAAATGTTCATACCAACCAAGCAGTATGGACAATGGAGGGATACATCTGCATTTGGCTGGTTGGTGGTTTCAAACATGACTTTTATTTTCCATAATATATGGGATAATCCTTCACATTGACGAACTCATATTTTTCAAGATGGTTAAAACCACCAACCAGTTGGGTTTGGGGGGTGCGATATGATGCAATGGTGTTTGCTCGTTGGCCCTGATAGGCCGCAGCGTTCAGATGTGAGTTCTGAAGCCCAGAGTTCGCGAGTTCGGATGCTGCGATGATTTTCATGGTGGCTGAGAACATAGGTTTGGTTTGTGTTTTCATGTTTTTTTCAAATAGCTTTGATGTTTCATTGGAAAAACGCTCCAACTGTCATTGTCATCCTCTAAAAATTGGATATGGGCTGGTTGTCTCCACTGTCCTACTTACCATCTACTACCACATGTTCATCCCATATCGTCCCATGTTTCCAGCTGCTAAAATGTGGCCTCCAAGATCCCCCAAGATGGCAAAGTTGGTGAACATAACTCCAACAAAGATGGTTTTTTCTTGGTTTATGATACATATAACGAACTAGTATTCAGCTTTACAAAGCAACAAACATAACTGGTTTTCCCCTTGGTTTGTCACTAAATCCTTGGTTTTTCATCGTGTGACATCCTTTCCATGTTGAAATTCCGAGGTATCAACAGCCTGCTGGCGCGGGATGAAGATCTGGCCGCGGATACCGCGCTGGTGGCCAAGTTCAAAGTGGGCAAAGAGCCATTGGAGGCCAGGCGCTGGGACTTCGAAGATCTGCGACGGAAATTCGAAGGAATTTCGCGTGGCTGATTCCCAACGAGAGTGGGAAGTTGACAAGCCCAGGAAGGTCTGATAAAAAAAAGCCCGTTGACTGGTTGGTGGTGACTGGAACCATGGAATTTTATGACTTTCCATATATTGGGAAGTTCGTCATCCCAACTGACGAACTCATATTTTGCAGAGGGGTAGGTATACCACCAACCAGATAGCATATTGATGATGAATTCCATGGTTTCGTGAACAAGAGTTTCCCTGAAAAAAACCATTGAGACGTAAGCCTTGAAAAGGTCAACTTTCTGACTCCAGGGTCAGGGACCAAGAAGGGGCTGGGTTTGCATGAAGTATCATGCCTTAGCAACGGTAAATCGCAAGTATCATGCCTTAGCAACGTTAAATCGCGATATGCCTAACATTACCTAACCAAAATTACAATATTATTTCACAATTATAATAGGGATATTGATGATAGACCATCAACAAAATGGGAAAAATCAAACGTCTTTGTTCACCTAATTAATTTTCAGATACCAAACATAGCTTGAGCTGGAGATATTTGAGCCGCTTTTGGATGATTGGATACTGAGAAAGTGAGCACTGGTTGATGGTAGTATCCCTGTTTCAGGTCTCCATAGCATCAGAGTTTCTGCTCCAGGATCACACTTTGTTGTTTTACGGGAAATGGATGGACATGGAATAATGAACTATTGTTTTTCCACGTTTTTCCTATCAAAATAGCAATTGTTCGCGTATCTCTCATTGTGAGACGCATTCAAATATCATCTAATTTGTTGCTTAGTATTATATATCCCAGTAAATATCTCCATAAAACATTCCAAGTTATGGATGATTTTCCCGTCAAATATCGCAGAAAATTAACGTGTATCAAATTCACCAAGATAGAAAAAGGGGATTTCGTTCAATAGATCGGGATTCCACATGTCATCGTTATAATATATACCCTCTGGTAAACGTTTACATAACTATGGAAAATCACCATGTTTAATGGGAAAACTCACTATTTCTATGGCCATTTTCAATAGCTCTTTGTATGTTTACCAGAGGGTATATATTTTTCTTCACCCATTTTCTATCCCACCAAGTTGGTGGCTCCATCCCACGGCTGAACCGCTGTGGGATGAGCCATTTAGGGAGCCCATGAATTTTTGCGAAGACCATGGTGCTGGAATTTCTCAAAACCAACAAAACTGGCCCTCAAAAATCACCCAGTTTTATAGGATTTGAAAAAGGTACCATCTGGTTATTTGTTTGTTACATAGCCATGGAAAAAGATCCACCATTTTTAAGTTCGTTAAACCATCTGTTTCGATTAGGGCCATCTATACCATGGCGAACTGTTAGTCATAACCAGATGGTAAATATACCAGCACCATGGTTTGCTACTATGGGTCTACCATAAACCATCATATATCATATACCAAAAGTATTATATATATATGATCCATGAAAGCTATAGATACATCTATACCATAAACCATAGTTCATAAACCCCATATGGGGAGGATCCCGCCAGGATGCCGAGCGAACCAACCAGCTGGCGAAGCTGCTGCTGGAGAAACGACCGCAGGCGTCGGCCTTGGACAGTGACGGCGATGACTCGACGGGGGTACCCCCGCTGAGTCGGATAGCTGGCCAGGTGTATTTCCATGGGAAAATCATGGATCCGGGAACAAATACCCTCTGGATCCATCTGGTAATTTGTTACATAGCTATTGAAAATCACCATTTTTAATGGGGAAATCAATGATTTCTATATGGGGTATTTTCAATAGCTTTTTGTATGTTTACCAGGCCGGGTAGATGATTTGGGGGTCTGCAGCCTATTTCAGGAGACCTCCATATCGAAACATCATGAAACGTCGATCTAGTGGTGAATGGAAGTCATCGATGAATCGAATCCCTCCACCCGAAAAATGGGAATTTTTTAAAAAAAGCAAATAGATGCTGTTTTTGCTTATAAACATTAATAAACAATATGAACTATCCATGGGAACATAACCTAATTATAAAGTCGTACATATTGTGGAATGATGTTGACTTTAAAATCGATTTAGGAAAGTGTGCCCTCGCCAAAAAGTTAATATGCTTTGTTACTAATTCAGGGGGGTTGCACCCAGCAAAACTGTAGAGATTAAATCCCCCCAATTAAGCAGCCCTGAGCTTTATATTGATCCGGGTTTGACAGATAGTTTTTCAGCAAATGGCGATGTGAAATTCAACGAAGATGGTAGGTGATTTCAGATGCAGAGCTAGACAACCATGGCAAGAATCAACCTCGGGGAAAGATGGGAACGTTTATGAACGTTGCAACTGCTTGATGGCGCCAACAAGAATAACATAGATGTTATCGAAAACAAAACAAAAACATGATGTTTTTTCAAGCCAAGATAAACAAAAAATGGTGGATACGACATGATACGACTGTATCTACTCAACCGTCATTCCCACTTGAGATTATTTATCCCAACTGACCATCCTTGGCATGGCTTGTGGCACCCAACTGACCATCTTGACTCCTGACCCCTCTGAGGCCATGCTGATTTAACTGTGCATGAGCACTGAGCACACTCACAAAGCCACATATCATCAAATACGATCATATAGCATCATTATGGCTGGTTGGTGGTTTCAAACATTTGTTATTTTTCCATATATTGGGAAGAATCATTCCAACAGACTTTCATATTTTTCAGAGGGGTAGGTATACCACCAACCAGAAATGCATTGTTCATCATTGTTCAATATGATTCTGGGTTGACCTTCACCGCTCAGATGGCCTCTTCAACCGGGTTCAAATATGTCCCATTCTGGCAAACATCAGCTCCTTCATCGATAGTAGGGTTTAGCATCCCCAGTGAGCAACCCATATCTGAATAGTGGTACTGGTATACCAAACGGTCCCCAAACATTTTTGGCCACACCTTAGGACATCATTAGCACGTATTTGCGTATGGCTGAGTCATCATTCCGAAACCCATTTACATTTGATACATTCTTTGCCCTTTTCTGAAGCATCAGCCAACATTTACCCATCATTTTTTTCACTCTGGTAATCAAACAACAATCCCCAATTTCCCTCGTAAAACTCTACAAAATCCTCAATTGCCCTGTCATTGGCCCATCATTGACCCATGGTTTCCCGGCTGCATGGCTGCTGCCAGGCCAGATTACGGCTGGATGCGAATCGCTCCTGGAGCCTGGAGCAGGAAGCCGCCAAAATCTGGGACTTTAAGGTTGATTTTTTCACTGACCATAGGAAAACCATAGGAAAACTATAGGTAAATCACCTATAAACTGGGAAAACCATATCTAGGTCAATCTTGGATGGGTAGAAACTAATCCTTTAGTCTTTTGGTATCAATAGATTATCTACGTTCACCAGCTAAGAATTTGGTCCATTTTTGGCAGGGTATCTAAGATTGGCCAAGTTGAGGATTTGTTCACTGGCCATTTCAGGAATCGACTTATTGGAGGTACCTATAGGTACCTAACATATATAAGTTATAGAAGGTCTATGTAAGGGCTATGTAAGGGGATATATCCCCCAAATATGGCTTTCTTTGGTACAGACAGTACCTCCAGTTTAGGTACCTGAAATGGCATGTTTTTTAAATCATAGGTTTATAGTATACGTAGGGAATGATGGGGGAAATCGCATAGATTTTTTTTGTTTAATGAAACATGAAACAGCAAACATATAGGAATATGAATGGGAACATTGTGAACATTTGGTAATTGAAAAAAATGAAGATTTTGCGAACTGCAAACCCTGGCCGATTTACTTTAATGAAAGATGAAAGCAGCCACTGTTTTTGGAGGCACATTGGTGGTGTTTGTCCCTGTATCACCAGGATGAAACCCAGTTCCGATTCTCGCTTAACAATGTACTCTCCAGCAATCAAACATGGGAACAATCCATCATTTATAGATGATTTTCCCAGCTGTAGACACTTATAGCCTACATTTCGTTCGTGGAATTCCCATTGCTATGTGTGGTTCCCAGGTAACACTGGCCCGATCTACAGGCCGCATCTTTCATTAGCAACCTCGACGAGCAAGCGTTGCAAATCACTGAGTACTTGGAGGCGACTGTCGTGGCGATGACCCTGCTTTGTGGACACTGTCAACGCTGTTCTTGAAAATGGATGTATAGCCGTATAGCCCCTAGGAATCAAACATAGCAATGGGAAATCCAGTATAGATGGAGGTTTATAGCTGGGAAAGTCAACCAAAAACATGCTGGATTTTCAGCTGCCATCTTTGATGACACCGGAGGGTATGCCCCCTAGCTATGGCATATTTTTTTCATTGGAACAATGATGATATTTCACAACTGGATCAGGGCTAAAAACTCAGACTCCTTTAGCAACAGTTATGAGTCGGGCCATTTTAGTAGCACACGTTCCTTGACAGCATATGCCAGAAATGATGGATATTTTTACAGGCAATCATGATATTTTTATTCATGCTTCATGGGAGAGAAACTAGGGTTTGGCATGGTTTTTTCCATGTTTTATCCCCTTCAAATCCCTTCAACCGGGGTCATGGGGTCAGGAACCAGTTCAGCAGAGCCCCCAACTGTTGCAGCACTGGGAGGCACGGGTTTCACCGTTTCACCGGAAGGGAGAGCGATTCACCATTCCTCCAATGAACATAGATGCCACATAGGAGGTTGGAAGATGATCCCATATGCTCCATGGTGGAATATAAAATCCAACATGTACACCTTGTCCAAAATCAACCAGTTTTTTGTAGGTTTTTATATACCAGCACCATGGTGAGCTAATATGGGGATGTATAGTTTCCAAACGTCGTCTATTTTCAGGGTCTATGTTCATTTGGATGTCAAGTCCTAATGTGGATTTTCACGAACCGAAAAGGTACTGTAGCCATTTCAAAATGGGGGACTTCAATTTCTTGCAATATAGGGCCCCCAAATAGCTAAGTTGGTTTATCGTATACAAAAACTATAGGGTTTATGGGGAATATAATGTGTATATATATATATATAACATTATATAACATTATTATACATTATTTACATAACATTATATAGCTATAGAAATCCAAGAAAAACAAATGGTGGCATTTCATGAGGACCATCGGGGGTTTGGAGCCTCTGAGTCTCGTTACCCTATGGTAAACTCACAGTTTGCGAACTGGAAAATCACCATTTTTGACTTCGGTCAATTTGGTCAATCATCATGTTTACCATCTATAAATGGGCCATGAATTCCATATCCAAATCCTATGAACTCCCACGAAATCCCAAGTAACCAACGGGACGGGGATGACGTTGGTCCCGTTCGGGGGCAGGCCAGAAGTCGGGGTTAATGTATATATAAGTATATGAATATATATAACAATGTATTATAATATATATATATTTACAATTGGATATACACACACTATATATATGATACAGCTATTGAAAATCAACTCACAATGTTTGATAGGTAAATCGGTATTGACTATTTATCATCTATTTAACCTGGCTCATTTTCCGGACGACCAGTTGCATGGCACCGGGCCCTGATTGGTGCTTTGAACTTGGTACATTTTTTGTGGGGTCCTGATGGGAGATCGGTTGGTTTAGTTCACCAAACAAGAAATGTTGGGCTGATGGGGGATATATGGACATAGTTACCCTCTGGTAAACATACAGAAAACTACAGAAAACTAGGGAAAATGACAATTTTTAATGGGAAATCTCACTATAAGTTGCCATTTTCCATAGCAAACTGTTAGTTTACCAGAGGGTAGTTAAATTTAGATGGTGTTATAAATCAACTTATAACATCTATAACGTTTGGGGGCCCCACTATTTGCCCCATGTCTTTCGCTACGAATTGATGACGAACTTCGAGTGACGACATTTTTAAATAGCATCCCTGCCCCCTCACTGCATTTTTTGAGGGGGATTACCATCTGGTAAACTACCGCTATTGAAAATGGCCCAGTCGAAATAGTGGATTTACCCAGCTATAAAATGGTGGATCTTTCCATAGTTTTCTGTATGTTTACCAGAGGGTAATCAGACATGAAACTTAGCCTCCGGTTTGCTCAAATATGGCTGGCTCCTGGAATAAAATGCATTTAGTTCGATGGGCCCCACTGACGACCGGGCCGCTATAGGCGATGGGTCAAAACATGTCAAAAGCTCTAAAAAACCATATGACTGGGAAGAATTCATCATATATTCACCATATTTTTTATGATATTGTTTACCAGTAAGATTTTATGTATCCCAACTATTTTGTGGTATTGTATCCCATTCACCAACTAGTTTGATCTATTTATTGGGGTACTGAAAAAAAATGTGTACCCCAAAGGTGCCCATTTTCCCATGGGATCGGAGCGGCAGGTCTTAAGTGAGAAGACTGAAAGACGTTTGGCCTTTGCCGTGGACGAGAGCCTCACTGAGGCAGTGTTAAAATGAGAAAATACCATGGAAAGTGGACATTTTATTATAGATATTTATAGTGCGTTTGTACATACATACATACACATTCTTATTGATTAGATACAGATATAGAGATGATTTTTTTTGTATACGGATATACATACTGTATATATATATACACAATGCTCGATATTGATATCGAGGAACCTCATCTTATTTCAAATTTTACACATGACAAGATGACGCTCGGGTCCAATGAATCCAGCTACGTTTACGTACCTCCATTTTAGGATCCTGAAATTCCCACTGAATAGATGATGGATAAAGAAAAACCCTGGTGAAATGAGATGCATGTAATGGTTAATCACGGCTAATACAAATCATGCTATCCTCTCACTTGTTTATGCAGTCGGATCTTTTACCGGCCCACAAATTCGACATTTTTGTTACATGTCATCTTAAACCTCTTGGGGTGGGGGTTGGGCGGGGTGGGGTGGGGCATGTCAACGTTCGTTTGCACTTGAAGTTGATGCTACGTCACGCATGGGGCTGGGTGGTGTGGGGTGGGGCATGTCAACGTTCGTTTGCACTTGCGTCATGAAGTTGATGCTATGTCAGGCATGGGGTTGGGGTTGGGTGGGGTGGGGTGGGGCATGTTAACGTTCGCTTGCACTTCCGTCATGAAGTTGATGCTACGTCACGCATTGGGTTGGGGTTGGGTGGGGTGGGGCATGTTAACGTTCGCTTGCACTTGCGTCATGAAGTTGATGCTACGTCACGCATGGGGTTGGGGTTGGGTGGGGTGGGGTGGGCCATGTTAACGTTCGCTTGCACTCCCCCCGTCATGAAGTTAATGACAATGCTACGTGGCACGCATTGGGGGTTTGGGTTGGGTGGGGTGGGGCATGAATTAACGTTCACGCGAAAGTTGCACTTGCTGTCAATGAGAGTTAATATGCTTACGGTCACGACATGGGGTTGGGTGTTGGAGTTGTAATAGTGTAGGGTGGGGCCCGTGTTTAAAAACGGTATCGCAAAATTGAGCACTAAGATACTAAGTGCATATATAGATTCTTACCTGGTAGAAGTCTGCTCATACTATTCATAATTGTCAAAAAATATCATATCCCGAAATATTTGCGAATCAAAAATACATAATATACGACACTATAGATATGATACATTTGTAAATATATAGATATGATACCTGCTGGCCAAAACGGGCCTCTACCTGGCAAAGCTGTGAGCTGAAAAAAGGAAAACCGAACTCGGCACGTTTTTGACCACAAAATGCTGGAAGGGTTGACGAAAGCATCTTGCGATGAACTTTTTTTAAGAAACTTTTTTGGACCCAGAATGTGCGTTTGGCTAGCACGAGAACGACGTTTTTGAGAAATCATGGGACGGTGAAAGATCCGTCGGGTTGTTTATGATGGGCAACAAACGGTTTTTATTTTTGCTGGGCAAGCGATGGTTCGTCAAGAATTGATACAAAGCATCAGACATATTCAGAAATAGGACATGTTACATACTGGTCAACGAGAATGAAATGAAAGATCTTTGATTGTCAAGTTTGGACACATGGATTTAAATTTAGGGTGTTAAATCATGGCCTTTTCCGCAGTATTGACAGGGCATCGTCAGCACGAAGGATTTGGAGAGTTGCAAGGTGCTGTGGGCAGGGAGTAAACTGGGGGTGCAGTTGGGGGTGGGAACAACGATAGTATCAACCCCCATAAGTTGGGTGATATATCTATATATATATATATCCCCTACAACTGTGGTTATATAACCACTTACAACTGGAACTGCAACGTCTCAGAGGGAAGGGGTTCTTGTTTCCAAGTAGATTCCCTGGTCTCCCCATGATTTCAAGACATCTTGGACAAAGGTGACATGGCAATTTTTCTCGGGAAAGTGATTATAAATCATGGGATTTGTGGGTACCCTACGTCAGAGCAGTTCCTTTAGTTCCTTGCATGCTACAGCCGTGGCTCATCCCACAGCTCGTTGGGTTACAATCTCAGTTTTTTTGTGTGGATTAACCCTGCATATCCCATTTATAAAATTTTAACAACTGGGGTTGTAATCATTCGATGTCCCCAAACCACACCAAACCAACTAGTCAACACTGTGACTTACTGGGTGTCAGCATTGCTCGCTCAGGAGCTCGAAGGGGGGAACCACAATTTTACCTGTTACTGGTAGTTGTATTATTATTGTTAGTGTTACTATTATTACTACTATTATATTATATGATTAATGTATTCAAACACAGTTGTATTAGATTCGATTCCATTGAAGTTGTATCTACAGATTATAGGTTGTATTCCTACAGTAATGTTGTATCCAAAATAGTTGTAATTCAACATAGCTGTGGGAAATCACCATCTTTGATGGGTAAATCGCCTATGTTGAAATTACCAGTTTGGCTTTTTCCTATTGGGTCATCGCAGTTTGGAGCCTCGTTCGTAAGTCCAGGTGGGGTTATTCCGTGTATAAATGGGTTATAACTACCCATATGCTCCATGTATGGAATATTTACCTACACTTAGCCCACAAATTGCCATACATGGAGCATCTGGGTTATGTTGGTTACAAACTAAATACGATCCGTGGGATGATCTTCCGAGTTCTTTTGGATGGTTGTCAAGATATCAACATTCAATGGATGGGTTTTCCAGGGAACATCTTAACCGGAAACCTTCGATTTTCCCCATGAAGATCATGGGGTTTTCCGGGTTTCCGGTGTCGGCTGGGGGATGATCATAGGTAAACCATAGGAAAACCCATAGGAAAAATGGTGATTTTTCATGAGGGTTTATGGTGGTTTAATGGGATTAATGGGATATATCCTCTGGTAAACTGTTACATAACGAACTGGAAAGATCCACCATTTTATAGCTGGGTAAATCAACTATTTCGACTGGGCCATTTTCAAGTTCGCAAACTGTTTGTTTACCAGAGGGTGCCCCCCATTTCAGGAAATGCCCACATGAACATGATAGGCTTCGGCCCGTCCCCTAAATAATTAAATAGACCTATGTCCTTTTTATACCTCATACTCCGCCATTTCAGTGTGTTTGCCTACGAACATGCTGGGATGCTCCATGGTGCTGGAATATAAAAACCAGCATTTGCCCGAACAAAATCACACAGTTCAGTAGGTTTTTATACACCAGCACCATGGTTCGCATCTGGGTAAGCATACAGCGAAAGTCCTCGTTTTTCGAAATCATGGCCTTTTCACAAGTCACTCGCCCTTGAAAGTGAACCACCAATCTGTGGTACTCCTTCAAAATGACAAAGTTGTTGGGATGTTCCCAGGGTTTGTCCAGACATTTTAGGTCACGCCATAGAGAAACATTGAACATTGTTTGGAACCCAAATTTTCTCCATATCTCTCCATGTTGTGTCATAGATTTTCCATATGTTCATATATGTTCCTTATTTTCGCATATGGGTGTGTCTGAAAATAGTGTACCCCTAAACCCAATGGTTTTGCTGATCATTATCCCTATTAAATGGCTATAATTGGGAATATACCCTATTTTCAGACAAACCGATATGTTTTGCATATTCTTCACATCGTTTACTAGTTAGTCTGGCCATGTCGAGGGCCCTGAATTTTCGCCCTCAGCGATGAGGCGCCCATCAAAGCCTTAGTGCTGAAGCCGTCTCTACAGGGTGCGTCCTTAGGGGCCCCCAATTTGGATGGTGGATTTAAGGATGTTAGTACCCTCTGGTAAACTAACATAACTATGGAAAATCACAAGTTTTAATGGAAAAACTCACTATAGATGGCCATTTTCAATAGCTATGTTATAACTGGTTGTAAATGGGATTATACATTCTAACTGATGGGGTTGTAAGTACTTATAACTGATAAATGGCCTTAACTCTAGTAGTTTAAGAATTGATGGCCAAGAAATGCCAAATTGATGGCCAGGTGGATTTGGCAGATTTTTAAAAAAAGGCTCAGATATGTTGATATGATTTGATATGCGAACATGTGTGCTCAAAAACATGTTTTCATGATGTTTTCATGATGTTTCCATGTGTTTTCATGATTGGGAATCGTAGCACCATGGGCATTCAGCGGCATTCATACTAATGATAGAGGATGATTGTTTTTTCAGATGCAAGGATATTGGTCGATGCTTGACGTGGCATGTGACTCCGGAGAGGGCTGAGAACACTTTGGAAAAGCCAATGGGTTCCCAGTTGGTTCTTTGTAAACTTCATGTGGGTTTATCATCATTTCCCCATTAAATTACTTTACTTCGTGTGATCCCCACCATGACATTCATACATTTTCTTACTGGCAAATCTTCTGGCATTCTATCTGACATATCTTCTGGCATTCTATCTGGCATTCTATCTGGCATATCTTCTGGCATATATTCTGACATATCTTCTGGCATTCTATCTGGCATTCTATCTGACATTCTATCTGGCACATCTATCTGGCATATCTCATGGCATTCTATCTGGCATGTCTTCTGGCTTATGTTCTGGCATATCTTCTGGCATTCTATCTGGCATTCCACCTGGCACATTTATTTGGCATATCTCATGGCATTTTATCTGGCATATCTTCTGGCATTCTATCTGACATTCTATCTGGCATATCTTCTGGCATTCTATCTGGCCGTTGAGGTCCAGCGGTGCACACTGAGCTGGGCAGGTCCCAGGTTGAGGTCCAGCCGTGCACACTGAGCTGGGAAGGTCCCCGGTTGAGGTCCAGCGGTGCACACTGAGCTGGGCAGGTCCCAGGTTGAGGTCCAGCGGTGCAGGTTGAGGTCCAGCGGTGCACACTGAGCTGGGCAGGTCCCAGGTTGAGGTCCAGCGGTGCACACTGAGCTGGGACGGTCCCAGGTTGAGGTCCAGCGGTGCACACTGAGCTGGGAAGTTGGCAAAGAGCTTGGCGAAGAGAGTTGGCAAAGAGCTTGGCGAAGAGTTGGCAAGGCGGAAGTGCAGGTGGAAGTTGATGCAGACATGGTCGAGGAGAAACTGGAGGAGGAGGAGGACGAGGACGAGGAGGAGGACAACTAGCCGAGGAGGACGAGGAGGACGAGGAGGAGGAGAACAACTCTGATAAAATCTAACAACCCTCACCTGGCAGGTGGGGAAATACAGTGCTTTACGATAGATATACAATTCTACTGTACAGCCCAAAAAGATGCCGAAAATAGCTTGCAAACCTGGAAAGGATGCAGAAAATTGGGCCTTTCTAAACATTTCTAGACACACTCAAATCATATAGTATGATTTCTGGCTATTACATATAAATATATACATGTATATTTAACTCAAAATGTCTTTATCATGTTCCAAAATAGAATTTATAGATATCAGATCATTATCCATAAATACATATATATATATACATATACACATAATTTTATAGATAGTTTAGATAGATATTATATAGATATAGATATAGCTAGTATACGTACTATTCAAATAGATATCAGATATAGATATAGATATATAGATATAGATAGTATACTTACACTATTTGAATAATATACGTACTATCTTGCTGGCTATTATAGATAGTATACCATCCCTCAAACACGTTGCAAGAGGCCTGGAGCAGACGGCGGCAATGGCCAAGTGGGCAGACGAACATGGTGGGAGAGCCGGTTTCAGCATGCTGGGAAAGCCGGTGGGAAAAGACATGGCTTACTAAACCATACAAAATACCACCCCCAAATGGTACAATGTGGCCCCCCCCAGTTATAAGTTGGTTTATAAGCCCCAATAACTATAGTTATAAGTACCATAAACCATAGTTATTGGAGTTATAAGCCAGCTTAGCTATCTCGGGAGCCTCACATTGTAAACATATAGTAACATATGGTGATCTGTATTGCCTAGATTACATTGTTTTAGTATTAAAAACTCACATTTTCTAGTTCAAAATCGATGAATGTCCTTTTCGAAATATATATATAATTAAAAAATTGACCCAAACATTGGGTTTCGATGGTTCCCCTAAGATTAAATTAAAAACCCTATTTAAAAAAACAACAAACAACAACATCGATTAAATTCCTCTTTAAAATCTAATTAAGATATTGCCGAAATTTGGAGTTCGAAGGTTCCTCTAAGATTGATTATTAAAAACCTCAATAAAAAAACTGAAATCATATATTTCCAAATGGGATCCTAACAATAAAACATCAGGTGTGATTCTATTTTTATTAACAGGGGATAAAAACCACTATTTCACCATCCTGTTCTCCTATTGATCTCAATTACCACAATTAAGAACGCAATCGCAAGCAACCGAAAAAGAAAGGAAAGGGCCAATCCAATCCTATTTTTGTCGGGTAAGTCTTAGGGAGAAGAGATTGAAGATTATCTTCCTACAGCAAAGTACTGTGGTGCAAGGGACGTCGAGGCGGCTAGTTTGATTCTATCTTAATATACCCTCTGGTGAACATACAAAAAGCTATGGAAGCCATGGCCCATTGAAATAGATGGTTTACCGGACTGGAAAATGGTGATTTTCTATAGCTATGTAACAAATTATCAGAGGGTAACTCGTATATTAGATTCTGTGAATTACGCCGCATGTGGTCCACATTTAAATCATTTAGTTTCCCCCCCGAAAACGGCCAGTTTCTGGCTGTTTTCTGGCGCCGGTTGAGTCGCACAGACCGATCTGACCTGTCTCTAGATACTGGAATCGTTAAAACAATGCCATAAACCATCCCCCAAATCACCATTTTTCTAGGTAGTATGGTTACCATTCCCATTTCTGGGTGGTTTCTGACATTGTTTCATCCACATTAGTTAGATATCCCATGATTATGCCATTATTATGCCATGATTATCCTACTATTATCCCCTAATAAATGATAGGTATAATGATGGTTAATAATGGTTAATAGTGGTCATTAATCTGGAATCATCTGGACCTCACGTCGCGACGTCGCTGGAATCATGGTTAGGATTCGGGGAATCATCCCCTATGTGGGCCCAACATTTCAGCTATTTTCGAGTGAAATGACATGTGATATACAATTCAGGCAGATTAATCATATCCTACAAGCTACAAACCTGTAAGCCTTTGCCATAAATGTATATATATATATATATACTATATACTTGATCTGTACATCTATAGGTATGTATATTTATATATATATATATACATGTATGAAGGAGTGTTTCATACGAAGCAGGCAAATCTATATCTTGTGCAGGGTATGCTCGAGTAGCCATGGATTTATTTTGTGGCACGTTGATAGTCATCGGATGTCATCGGATGTCATCAGTGCTGAGGGGAAATCCTCGGAACTGGGTAGCCCATGAACTTGGTGTTTTTTTTCTCCTTGTTTTTCCATAGGTTTCACCCCATTGTCGAGGCTTACTGGTGCATCTTGGATCTTGGATCATCCCAGCCATGGTAAGCCGAAAAAAATCGTCCCCAGACCAGGGCGCCATTGTAAGGACGAGCCAGATCAACCCTAGTAACCTAGTAACTAGGCTATGAAACCCTTATCGATGACCATTGACTGATATATATATATATATAAGAAAATATTAAAGCACTATAAGTGGGATGTTGCCCAATGCAAAACCCTAAGCATAGATCTTATAAACATCCTTGATATGATTACGTAAGTACTAATAGAATCTTAGGAACCCTAACCATATTCCCGATTTCTTAATGAGTACTTGTGATTTCTTACTGAACAGAAGAAGAAAAGCACTGGTAAATGATCATGTTGATCATCTATAAATGCATCATCTATACCATATGTTAAATAATCCGAGGCTACTCAGGCTACTCATAGATTCTTATTACCCTCCAGTAAATTAACATAGACCCTGCCAGTTGTCGGGGTTGGAAGACTAGAAACTTAGTTTCCACTTTGGTCATTTTCAGGGTCAAACTGTTAATTTACCAGGGGGTACCCTCTGGTGAACTAACATAGCAATGGAAAATGGCTATTTATAGTGGATTTTCCCATTAAAAATGGGGATTTTCCATTGCTATGTTAGTTCACCAGAGGGTAACTGCTAGACCTGTTTCATAGACCCAACCAGATTCCCTATTTCGAACCATGGCACCTCGATCGAAGGTGCCGTGGCCGTCCTCAGTTCGGCCTTCGAAAGCGGTGTGGCTTTGTGCCATTTCGCTCTGCTGGCCTCGATGTTGGTGCGCCTTCCGAAAATCTGGGAAAACCAATGGGAAAACATGGAGAGGATGAACAAGGGCAAAAAGAAGGGGGCAAAATATGGGCAAAATATGGGAAGAACACAGCATCTAAAATGATGCAAGTGAAGTGACTCCTGAAGCTCAGTAGATGGGCTGTATCATATGATGAGTATCAATGATATCCGAGAAAGTGACGTGGGAAGGGGTCGTCGTAACCAACAATCAGAGCATATTCTTGGTATGGTTCAAGCAACAAGCAATCAACTGGGGCTTAACACCACAAACATGCTAACGGAAGATGTCAATGTTTCAGCTGTAAAAGCGGCTATCGAATTGAAATAGCTTATATTGGGATTTTCTTCAACCAACAACCAAATTGTCCATCCTGCGAATGGGGGAACTACCAACGGGAATCGACACATTTCAACCAAGCCAGTACGTTGATGAAACGTCTTACGTCACCATTATTGCAACATTTATAGTGTGGTAAAGCCATGCCATAGTCACCATCCCCAAGGAGGTTTATGAAATTGGGCCCCATCACCCCATCCTCACTGGGATGATCTTGATGAAACGACCCAAGGTCAGACGGTCACTCCGGTCACTCCCAGCTTAAGGCTCAAGATGGTCTCCGATTTCAAGTCGTGGAGCCGATGGCCACGCCGGCCACATGGCCACGGGACACCATGGCTGATCTTTTGGATGTTCCTTCCCTGGGCGCTGAAAAGCGCCACGTTTTCCTCACCTGCCGGAAGCCGAAACGCGAAAAGCATGGGGATTCTGCTGGCACCTGGGGCAGATGAAGCAGTGGCAGCGTTCAGAAAGAAGTTTCCGGAGGTCCGTTGTTTGGGGAGAAAACATGACTCACCAGTGTTTTATGGAGCACTTTCCGTTGTTTTGGGGTGCATCTCAGGGAATGGCGAACAACCCATGTGTATATAATATTTAGAATATTATTTAATACAATATAAGAGATATACTATATAATTTATAATAATAATAATAGTTTAATAATATAATATAATATAATGTAATGTAGTGTAATATATTATTATATAATATAAAAAATAATATAATTTAATATATATATATATATATTAATATAATATAATAATAATATATCATAGTAACATATTATGATATAATATAATAAAATATATTATTATATAATATAATAATAAATATATAATATTACATAATATAATTTTATATAAGATGATAGATAATATAATATAATATAATATGATACAATATAATATCATATACTATAATATAATACAATATACTATACTATAATATAATATAATATGATATATAATTAAACATAACATAGCAGAAGATAACATAATATAATATGATATAATATAATATAATATGTATATATATATATACACACCCTCTGGTAATTTAACATAGCTATTGAAAATACCCCATGGAAAGAGTTGATTTGTCTGTTCAAAATTGTGAATGTCTATACTTATGTTAGTTTACCAGAGGGTACATACATACAGTGTATATATATATATATATATATATAATACTAGGGTATATCCCACCTAATCAAAACCTTGGGTCGTACTGTAATTGTAACTTCTAATATGTTCTTTC